TTTCCTGTGTGATCATAAGAGGCGACTAATAGGGTTCGACTTCCTGAAGTCTACACACCTCTTAGCCTCATAGGTGGTTTTGACCCCTGCGTGTTGTTTTGTTAAAGCCAAGGTTAGCCAAAATCATCTTTCCTGTTAGGCGCCAGATGACCTTAATAGTTTTGGTGCGCCGTAAACCAAACAAACAAACAAACGAAAAATGTAAATTGTGTAAATGGGTTGTACGTTAACCGTTAAAAACAGCAAACCTAAAACTTGAATATTTGAAATCTACATTTTATATTTTAAATATATTTTAAGTATATTTATTATGCTTTATAAGAATGTATCGAACATTCATTGTTTTAATAAAATGTAAAATAACATGTATACGTCACAGTAAAATTATGGTCTGTCCTGTTTCTTTCAGGCGAGCTTGTGCAGCCAGATTCAAACGAAACTACATTAGTAGCCGTAAAAGTGTTAAAAGAGGGCGTGTCTAACGAAGCACGTGATGACTTCGAGCGCGAGGTAGAAATCATGAGTGCCTTTGATCATGATAATATTCTTAAACTTATAGGGACTGTATCTACAGGTGAGTTTTTGTTATTGTTGTTGTTTTTCTTTTTATCAGTGCCGATTGCATCACAACCACCTTCGATTTACGGTAGATGGAAACGAAAATTAAATAAAATAGTGAACAATGAATGGTTTAAACGATTAAGAAAAGAACATTACAATATGATTGCTGTAAAATCATTTTTATAGACACAATTATTCTTAGGACAAAATTATTCATAGTATATAAACGAAATAGCCAAGCGGCATATGGTGTTTAAAAATAGGCAGTGCTGAATGGTGTTTATTAAATTTTTTAACACTACAGTATTGTAAAATAGAGAAAAACGGAATCTCTAACGAACGCCAAAAAATCGACATAATTGAAAATGTTGCAGGCTTGGTTTGACTGAGTCTGTTCATGGACAGTACTGGAAAGTGCAAGGTACCGTCCACGCCCCCTTGCTCCGGCTTAAGCATACTTATTCAACATTTACACATGAAAATGGTAAAAGTTTGAATTTAGAAACATCTGCAGATGTGTTCAGTCTTACATTGAGAAGAAACTATACTGTTCTTGTAAATAAGAAATTGCTATACAGAGAGTCGCACTGGTGAGGATGTACTTATGAAGTGAATGAAAAGTTTGAAACACTTCTCTCCATATTTCAGGGAACAACGACACCCCGTATATGGTGTTTGAATACATGATGCACGGCGACCTGGCAGAGTTGCTAAGAAAGAATGAGCCGACTATTAAAATGGCTGACACGTCCTTAATACTGCAAAAGGTACTGCCATATTAAATTAATATGACCATGTATCATCAAAGAATTTAGATTTTATGTCGAAAATTTGACTGCATTTGATACGCCGTCGTCGAAATTGCTATAGCTCTGAAACCTTATTCGGAGCACGTCGCCGATGATTCATAATAATCTCGGAGAAGTTACGAATTGGACATAGTTCTGCTAAGTAATCTTTCATGATAAACAAAAGAAGAAAAATAATAATAAATGAATATATCTCTTTGACATCTGCTCAAAAATGCAACCAGAGCTCGTTCGTATGCAATTGTTTCATAAATAAAGGCTAATACAATAGATGAATATCAGTCAGGAAGTTGAAATCGCATTTTCTTTTCAAACATATATTGTATATTTTTATAATCACGAGGACAACAAGATGATTCAGACATTTATATTATGTTTATTATGTTATTGACATACTTAATAATGTTTACTTTTTCAGACTGACCTTGTTGACATTACGATACAGATTGCCAATGGTATGAGATATCTGACGTCACAGCATTTTGTCCATCGTGATCTGGCAACGCGAAACTGCCTCGTAGGTGATGGTTTAATTGTAAAGATAAGCGATTTTGGGATGTCACGTGATATTTACACTTGTGATTATTATAAGGTAAGTAAAGGTTAATAATATTTAAAGTTTAAAGGGACTCTTCTGCGTTTTCATTTATATTTTCTGGAGATATTTGTACCATTTGATAAAAGTCTTTAAGTTGTGAATAAATGTCAGATCATTCACTTCATTTTTTTTCCAGAATACTTATTTTGATTATCAAAAAAAATGCCCTAGACATGAAATGCGTTTAAACGCCTTTAACTAAAATTAGTAAGGAATAGTACAAAAAATACAAGTTTACGTTTTAATTTCATTCTGTCTGTGATTATATCTTTTTACCATCATTTACATGTCTTTCCTTTGTAAGTGGCCGAATTGATCTATGTATGAAATTCAAACTATGGGAATTCAGTGGAGTACCTTTAAGTATAGTTTAATCACATTTACGATTTTTCAGAAGCATTTGTTTTTATTTTTATGGTGCTTTTTATTCTGTTTCATTCCATTTAATTTATTTCCGTCAAGCTGAGTTCTTTTATTAATCACATATAATGAGTGTGAGGGCATTTCCTTGTATTTCTTTGAGTTTTATCACTGAAATATTACTATTTCTAATTATATTTCAGTGAATCTTCTAAGCCACATTTTGTATGATATTTCCTTCTCTCTAACGTATTTCATTTTCACATTATTTTTAAAGATATATTATTCTCAAATTATAATATTTGAAAATATTTCAAATTGCCGCACAGTCTGTTTGTACATATAAAATCAACATAATTATTTCGACTCTACGCAAATTATGATATGTTATGTTTTAAACTCTACACACCATTGGAGGCCACAATATGAACATAATATTATAGTGTCATTTAAAAAGAACTGGCAGTTTTTTTAAGAAAGGGCAAACTTTACTTGACTTGTAAAAAGGAATGCAGCTTCCCATACATAGTTTGAACATTCTTTCATTCAAATTAGAAACATTCGGTAAGAACTTAATATATATCAATAATTTTCTGCGAAGAAATTATTTAACTTTAAAATGAGCATAGAGTATCTTTAATAATATCGAAATTAAGAATTTAGGTTTATATGTATTTTTATTTTCTTTATTTAGATCGGAGAATCAGTAAAGAATTAAGGTTAATTTTCTTTATTTCTTTATTTAGATTGGGGGATCAAGAATGTTGCCGGTACGATGGATGTCACCAGAAGCTGTGAAATGGGGACGATTTACTACAGACTCTGATATATGGGCATTTGGTGTTGTACTGTGGGAAATCTTCAGCTACGGGCGACAACCCTACTATGGACATACTAACGAAGAGGTAAATATTTAATGTGTAGCAGTGCAACAATTAATTATTAAATATAAGCGCCCTTGTGTGTGTTTTAACACTTTTATAGTAAATCTATTAAAAAGCAAAGAAAGTAGTGAAAAATAAAGAAATGCCCCTTTTGAAACAGTCGCCATTTGTGTTAGGTAAGGTGTCCTAAATAGATTTGTTAGATACAAAGTCAACTAGCAGGCTTTTGAAATAATAAGAGTCGTTAAGGATTGTTTCATTTTTCAGCTCCTTCTGGTATAATTGATTTAATACCATTGAAAGCGGTTGGGTGGGGCGTTGGTTAATAATGAATTTATATAAGTTTGATTGAATAGGAAGTTTATGTCTTAGAGACACACTCTCGAATCCGTTCCTTGATTCAACCAGTTCTTAAGCAATGAGTGTTAAGCTTCTTGCTCAAGGAAACAACGACTTGCTCTTGACAGAGTTTGAACTAACAGGAATAGTGATTCTTAGGTTACTTGTCCGACGCGTTAACCACACGACAATGCCGCCACTTCTAACGGGGTGATGCAGATGTTACCTAATGCATTTTGCTTATCTTATACAGACTTTGTTCTGTGCTGTATGACAGCTTTAAAATGCTGGTCAGTACTTTACCTTTGTGCTGTTAGAGTTTTGGTACTCTGGTGTAAATGATTCCAATATGTTTTGGGTTGAAGATTGAATCTTTAGCGGTGCTGGGGATGGTACATTGGAAATGTTGCACCTATATCATTATCTCACATAAACAGACACAGTCAGAGTCTGCAATTCGGAATTTTTCATATGCGATTTAATTTGTACGAAATATAATTATTAAATATTAAAGTCTTCGTTGAATTAAGATATAACGATAATCACTTTTTCTACAAGTACTTCATAACCTAAAATTATAGTTAAGTGTTATTTCTGTAGTTATGATTTGCTTTTTAATTATACAAATCTTTATAATTATATTGTATCAGTTAATTTGTACTGTATGTGGCCGCGATAAATAACTAAATACGTTGTTTTCTTTAGGTTATTAAATTTCTGGACGAGGGAATTCTACTGCAAAGGCCCGAGGAATGTCCGTCTATAGTTTACCACGTTATGTTACAATGTTGGAAATTAGATCCTAAAGAACGACTGGCATTTGACAGGATCCACAAGTATTTGACAGAATACAGTAAACAACTTCATAAATCATCAAAACCAGCATCATTCGATGTGGTCAATGAATATGAAATTCCGCTGTGAATGCATAGAAAAGGCATTACAAAAAAGGCTGTGTTAATTTTTCTATTTACTTTTCTTGTACTTAAAAATAAAATTGTCAAAACAAAATTTTTACTGACCTCAATGAAATGGCATACTTACTGGAGTTTATGCAATCATGATAAGGTATCTCAACCGCATTCAACCAATATCCAAGAAATATTTGAAAAGGTAAACAGTAATGAATTCTAGATCTTATTCTTTTTCCTTTTTGTTGAGATCAGACATTTTCACACTCTCTTAGATGGACTTCATCAGATATTAGCAAAGTTTTATTTCTTATATTTAGAGAGATAAATGCCAAAATTTGCTAATTGGCAAACTCGTATTCAATCAATCATGACTGACTGTTATACGCTTTCTAGTATGACAAACTTTCTGTTTTAAAAACGTATATACAAAGTTGCCTTTAAAATGTATACGTCATCTCGTGTTAAGGAGACAAAAATAATTTGTATACATGTATATAGCAATATGTTTTTTATTGTAACATTGAAAGTGATACTTTGTTAACCTTACAGGATTCTTTACGGAACAATTTATCAAATATGTATCAATGAAAATGTGATTTGTTACAAAAATATTTTCATTTAATAATGTTATTTTTACGCATGCCAGTGCTGGTCGCTGTTTGATGAGAAACAAATTATTTTTAGTCATTATTTATATAGATATTTACATTTTTTTATGACAAAACTTTTATGACAAATGTCATTTTGAATATTTCGAGGAAAAAATGTACGATTTTTTATTGTTTAAAAAGTCCATTTCAATTGCTGTTTTCTTCCGCTTTTGGAAATTAATTGTATCTCAAGAAATTAATATATTAAAAGCTACATTTGTTTACCTTTCAGTAAAAGCAAATGTAAGTTTACATTTGCTCGCTTCTTGCTTGGCAAATCTTTTTGACAAAATGGCCCTGGATTTTTTAATGTTGCAATTTTGCATATCCATATTCACATTCAAAAGACCAGCACACTTATTGCAGTTTTAAATACGACTTTTAGGGATCAATTTATTGTATAATAGTTATTTCAGTTATTTTAAACAAATGCATTACGTTTAGTCTAAATTTAAGTGGTGTTCTATTTAGTTCAGTTTAGTGTTATATCTGCCGCTTGTCTGACTTATAAATATAAAAAAAACACGAGTGTTGTGTCTAAATTCAAAATATTACCTTTATTTTGTTTAAATGTTGAATTTTGCTCCCGTCGGAGCTAGGGGCAATGGACGGTAGATTTAACCCACCACTACCGTCCATGAATGGCTCAATCAAACCGAGCTTGCACCATTATCAATATTACCGTTTTTAGGCGTTCTGTATACCAATTTTAAATGATTGTTACGATGTACCTACTCACTAAATTTAAAAAATGAGTCTCTCTTAGTACTATTTGCGATTTGAGTCAACATATGTGCATCGGATTTACGTAAAAGACGAGAATAAAGATCAACAAGGCAAAGGCAACGTTCACAGGGCGCGGTTCAAACACGTAGGTTAAAAGTATCTTAAAGCATTTATAATGATGTTTTGATAATCATAATTTCATTAGTAAATATCAGTGAATGTGATGAAATAAGTGTTATAATGTCTGTTTTTGTTTGTTTACAATTTTGATTATGACTTGACTTAAGAACATTATAAGCTGCCAGTATTGTTCTGTTTACTTTCATAAACCATTCAGTGTTACTTATGTTTTACATTGATCCACAAAAAGAATAATTCTAATAAAAAGTACAAACGGGTTTGAAAACTGAACACAAAAATATCATTTTGTGTTTTCTAAGCTCTTTACACTAAGTATACTATATTAAAACAATACTGCCACTTTAATGTGATTGAAATGCTTTAAACAGCAATGACATACATTTCTTTCTGTTGTTCTATGTTTTATTTCCCTTACCGCTTTAACGCACATTTGTGTTCCTTTAATTGTTCAAAAATCTTTACTTCATCATCCTAATATACAGGTAAATGTTTCAATATTTGTTCACTTGTGAATTCACCAGACAAATCATAATACTTGGAAGACCTTCACTCATTACATATACAGTATCATCACTTATGTTTTGCATACTAAAATCATTTGTACAGATTTGACTTGTTTTATATTCATGGCACACATAAAGTATTTTATGGCACGATTTAATTAGAATATACTGTAAATAGGAAGATGTTCTTGAAAACACTTGACAATCAACAAGTCAATATCGTATAATTTTGGAATATTGATTTGAATTACCAAGTAAAACATACAAAAGTTATACTTTAAGTGCTAAAAAGTGTATATTAAAGTGCATAAAGCTATATCTCTGCTGCCTCCAGCTTACAAATTTTTCCTTGAATTTTTATCTGTTTGAAAGACATTTATTTAAATTTGTATATATCCTTATAGGCGAATGGCGCATGCCAACTGTCATCATTAACGGTTAATATCTACTCAAAAATCAAATTTAATCCTTCTTTAAATAGCAAAATCAATGTTTGTCCCTGTAAACATTTTATTCTGTTTACGAACCATATTCATATGCAGTAAATAACAGAGACATTTTATGTTATAACTCTTTTGAAGACCAACATTTAAATCCTGGAAACATCGTGATTTTACCCTTAATATTTTTGTTTAAAAGATTTTACTAGATAAGCTTGAACAAATATGCTCCGAAACTCAGCAAATGTTGCTTTTCTCATTCTATCCTGGCGTGTAACCTTTACAGTTTTACACCAAGGTCAAAAAGGTGAACCATGCTTTTCGCTAGTTATCGGCATATTTGTCGGAATTGTTTGTACCCTTAAAAATGATGGGAAAAATGTTTGTTTCCCAAAATACTATGGGAAAATGTTTGTTTGTACCCCGGTATATGATGGGAACACCTCACATTTGCCGAGTTTGTGAGTAAACTAATTGTGGTAATAAAACTTCTTAACTGAACCACCAATATCATCTGTATATGTAGTGCAATTAAGTATTGGTTTGCACTGCAGTGAATCACACAAAATTATTTTCGTTAAGAAATATTTTGAAAATATATATTTAACAAAATTGAAATTTTCTCAGAAACGTTATTGATATGTTTTACCACAAGATATTAAAAAAAAAGGTTGGATGCAAATAAATGAACTTCTTCTATTGCAGGAAAAGAGTCTCCATTTAGTTTTGTTACATGAAGGGACTGACAATACCTTTGAGATAACTGTGCCGTTTAATGTATGTCTGACAAAATAAGTGTGAATAAACTTTTCTATCATTTGTTCGCTCCGTTTTTTAAGGACAATCTTTATTTGTGCACAATGGCCACATATTTAAAGTATTTTGAAATGTTAAGTTCCCGAAAACCAAGTTTGTTTAATATGTAATATACTTTGACTGTCTAAAACTATTTTAAAGACTAATGTTATCAGAAACGTTAAAGATTGATTATAAATCGTTTAGAAATTGTATTTTATTTTAGGATCATGTATTTTTTAAGCAATGAGATATTTATGTACATTACTTGTTATTGTATAAAACTTTATTTGTTGTCATACCTATTGTTAAATATTGCAAATATAAAGAGTATTTGAATTGAATTGAATTTTGTGACGTTTCTGCCAATCTTGTCTTCAAAATTATATAGTTTGAAATTATTTTCATTAAATTACGCTTATGGTAGAGTATGTCTTGTACCGGATGGCTACATATGGTTCTCTGAAGGACGGTAAAATATGACAGTTAACTTTTTTGAAATGTTCATAAAAACATTTGCCGCACATTTTTTTACATTTAAATGAAAACTTAACGAATATTTAAACGCGGTATAATTATTATAATAATCACTAAAGGTTCCGCAATAATTTATTGCATCATGCTTTTATTATGAAACGTTATGAGAAAGCAGTGTAATCGAAATAATAGCACTTGTACACTCTGTAATATAGGCCCACATTTGCCAGAAATTCCCTAGTAGAAGGTAACTGTTTATCTAAATTACTGCTCTGCAGGATATCTTATTATAACCCTGGCGTGAACTATAAACTGTCCATGGTGCATTATCGATACAACTCTTATCAGAAACAATATGGCCATTTACCAGTGGTCAGTGTGGATTGATTTCACCTCAACATTAGATAAGGTCTAAGGAATGAAAATAATGTTGATTTTGTGAAATATGTTTTATATAGATTTAACAACTGATTACAAATATAATAACAAAGCCATTAATTGTCATAGTGTTACATTAAGTTTTACAGTTTTAAAATACATTTAAGCTGCAAAAACCCTTGTGCACAAATCATGAAAATCAGTTTCGAGACCACTTGTTTGAACAAAAACAGCCCAGATGCAGTTTATTTCTTTAGAGTTTGTCACATCAAAACTGACTGCATTTCCTATGCTATCTGGGCAATAAATATCTAAAAGTGATTTTATGTCATTGTCTATTGCTGACGCAATGTGGACCTGACCAGCTTCAATTCTTATTTCATCATCTTTTTCTGAAGATTTGTATCGAAGTATGTTTTTTCTAATTTGTGCTTGTGAGGATCGGCTCCACTCTTTGCTACATTCATTCAGTGACAGGAGAGACTGGAATCTTGAACACTTAAGGTTTACTATGTCTTCATATGACAATTCTGTATGAATTTTGAGAAGTCATTCTCAAACCAGCATATTTGTTTCCATTCCAACTGATTGAAATTCTGCTTATAATCTACTACCAATGTTGGAATATCACTTTCATTGATATTTAAAGAGTCAAATAATATTGATGTTCTTAATATCTGTGTTTTGGCTATCAGTTTGTAAAGTTCTAATGACGTTGTTTGAAATGTACTCTCTTCAGACACAAGCTGTTGTTCAATATCTCTAAGTATCTTCTTACAGGAATTGGTTGTATTATGTTGGCATAAATATTAAAAAACTGTCAATACTGTGGCACATTCTTTGCCTAGAAATGTTCTTGAACCACCCTGAAAAGATTTGAGAGCGCGTTTTAAATTACTTTTCTGAATATTGTCTCCACTTCTGCTAAGGACACTATAAACATCCTCAATGAATATAAAATTCTCATTGGTATTCTGATCTTTGTTGATCTTGAAGGTTTGAGAAAATTTCATGATAACCCATTGATGAGAACCTGTAAAAGAAACCTTAAAGTTTGAGTAAAACTTAAAAGCGACTATTTTCAATAACTTATATTTTGTTATAACCTATGGTTGATAAGAAGTAGTGCCTAAATGGACACATAGACGGATGCCGTTAACAACAGACACATTATTGTGACATTGGACTGAATTGACTGTTTATACATATTTCATTAATAATATTTTATGGTAAATGTAATAAATGTAGATGGTCTATTAACAAAGTTCTAATAAAATTAGATAGAAACGGTGACCTATAGATAGTTTGAAAGGTTCTACAATAATTTGATTCAGTAAAATAGGTTGTTGTACAAGGCAAAATTTCAATAGTTTCTTATCACATAATTGTAAACGTTAAACAAATGATTTTTTATATATGTACTTTTTTATTGATTGTAAAACTGACTGCCAATTCAATGGAAATAAATTTCAAACTAATTTCTGACACAAAAAAAAAACACAAATAGAAAAATTTGTCCTGAGTGGTATTTACAAAGTTATTAAAAGTTCATATTATTACAGGAAGCCCCAGTGCCTGTTACATAAGTTAGCCTTAAATCTATTCATTAACGTAAATATAATGAGCACTCAAAACTGCTTAAATACAAATGCAGCACTTTACTTTCAATGTATGTTTTATCTTAAATGACCGAATTATTTCTCCGATCTAGACATGTATAAACTAATGCTTGTTACTAAGTATACATTTTAATTCGAACAGTAAATAAATAAGTATCTTACCTTTTCATATTTGCCTTCCACTGTGTTTTAAAATGAAAACAATTATCATATAAAAAGAAAACAGACTTAAACCTGCTATTCAACAAAATAATATGAACAAGAGGCCAGCAATTTATTTGTATTAGTATTTATGTAAACAGAAGTACCATCATTAGTTTCTGGTTTGGGCTTATCAGATGGAAATGGGATATTAATTGCCCCCCATGCTGTGAATCAGCCACACTGACCACTTAATGTCTTCATGGTAATTCTGTAAATAACAGTACTGGCCAGATCAGTAGTGATCAGATTTTTGGGTCTATGGTCTCGTCTGTGTAGAGACTTTAAAGTAGTTAAAATTAATTTTTTATTCCACACGTGAAGTTTTACCGTCCTTCTAATTTACATAAAGTATCCGGCTCTAATTAATGTACATTATCCCCTAATGAATATTATATACATTGTGGCGCCGGCGGAAAACATGTTTATGAAAATCATTCAGAAACGATAATACACCCAAACACAATATTAAAAGCAATGGAAAATATTCTCATACTTTTTGCTTATAGCTGCTACAATTAAAAAGAAAAATAATTTCAAATACGTTAAGTCCGTTTCCCAGTTCAGAACAAAAGGAATTATCATTGTCGATATTTACAAATACGAATATTTGAGATAGCTTGGTGAATTATTATCACTTTGATGTCCGTCAAAGTTTGACGTGTAATAAACTGACGTCATGATCATATATTTTAAAAGATTGGCTATAAAAATAGTATTTCACATATCTCTTTTAATAATTTCATAAAGTTTTATTCAGTAATAAAGTAACTTTCTACTTAAATATAGATAAAGAAAAACACGGTTTACCGACTTAACATTACAATGCAGTAATCATGGAGAGTGCATCGTTTGAACAACACGGCTCTTTCAAGTCTTCAAATATTTCGTCTTATATGTTAGCTGTCCTAAATGAAAAACTCTTTGATGAATATACGTGTATCACTATAAGAAGCTTTTTGCGCTGGTATCATAAAAAAGATCCATCAACCAAGTAATTATTGTGGCTTACTTTAGAAGAACGACACTGATATGGCTATCTCTAAATGGTTTAGTCAGAAAGAGATACGTTATACGGAAATCATATTCGTAGAGCCGATTCCACGTTTAATTGGGTTTATAGACAATTCCTGATGAGATTTCTATCAACTTAATTGATATACCCATTATAGTGATTTATATAAAAGCAAATGAAAAATGATCATATAAATGTATTATATATACTTATAAATGAAATATTGAAAAATATAGATGAAATTAAATGCGTATTTTTATCTTCCGTATTTTCACTGTAAAAGAAATATTGTTTTCACTGCAGTGAAACATATTTTTCGTTGTCTTATCGGACTACACAGGATTAAATGCCCATCCGGCTACCCCTCCCTTATAAATAAGCCATTGTCGCATTTTTAAAAACTATGTATGCTCTGAAAGTCTGCTTGGTCATCTGATAAGATCATTTATATGTTCATCTCTCATTAAACCCTGTGGTCCATTAGCAGTAGAATAGTGGAATAGTAATTGAACTTGACTTCATCAGATGTCAGCAAAGTTCTATTTCTAAACTTACAAATAGTAGTAAAATTTGCTAATTGGCCAACTCTGTTTACTGATGACAAACGATCACACGCTTTCTAGTGTGGCACAATTTCTGTTTTAAATACGTATATACAAAGTTGCCTTTAAAATGTCTACGTCATCTCGTGTTTAGGAGACAAAAATATTTGTATACATGTACATAGAAATATGAGCCGCGTCACGACAAACCAGCATAGTGGTTTGCGCCTCCGCGCAGTCTGATCAGGATCCATGCTGGTCGCAAACGCATAACGTTGGTTTTGTCTTGACGCGGCTCATATGTCTGTTATTGTAACATTGAAAGTGATATTGTACTTACCTTATAAGTTTCTTTTAGGTAAAATTGATAAAATATTTCTCAATAAAAATGAGATTTCTTACAAAAATATATTTAATTTTTTAATTTATGGGTTTTTTTTTCGCATGTCAGTGCTGGTCTCTGAAACAAATTATTTTTATCATATTTATATAGATATTTACAAAATTTTTACTGCAAATGCCATTTTGAAATTTCGAGGAAAAATGTGTACGATTTTTTATTGTTTAGAAAGTCAATTTTAGTTTGATGTTGCGCTTGAATTTTGAAAAGGAATAATGTCTGTTTGAAAGATATTTATTGAATTTCGTATACTTCCTTAAGAAAGGTTTTGGCGCATGCCCACTATCATCATTAACGGTTAAATTCTACTACAAAATCAGATTTAGACCTACTTAAAATAGAAAAATCATTTTTTGTTCCTGTGAATATTTGATTATTATTTATTTCTTTTGTGTGTGTGGGGGGGGGGAGGCAGGGGGTAAATCTGGACAAATAAAGTGTCAGAGAGATTTATATGAAAGATAATCTTGTTTTGTGGTTCTATTTATTTATGTCATCTTCTGATAATGTCTTTCTATCAATCTATTGAACAATGTTCTTTTCGTGCTTAATATGGACACGCGTCATTTTTGTAACGCGTATGGGAGACCCGCGTATAGATGTTACTGTGGTGGCTGATTTGTGCCATTCATGATTTTGTACTGCGACTCCGCCAAGCGAAAAGTCGAGAATTAACAAATTAAAATGGCGGGGCGCGGAACGAAAACACGCTAATAAGCGGGACGATGTTTATTAAATAAAACTTCGCCCGGCGGGGGTGCGTTGAGAGATTTAAGAAATAAAACGGCGGGGCGCTAAGATGCAACACCAGAATTATACAGCATTGCATATCATAAGTTAAGCTTGCACTTATTTTACCCTCGCATCAGAATCTATCATTAACTTGTGTCGGCACACCATTGCCATCGTATCGTGTTCTGCATCGTTCCCTTTTCAGTCAGTGCATTTTTGAAAATTTCCCTTAGAAATATAAGTGATTTTGTCCAGACTGAAAGATGCCCATGGCCATTAAAGACATTAAGCATGGTAAGGGTAAATTGTTTAAAATGGTGCACCATATTATTACATTAAGCCCTTTAAGTGACAGGTTTTATGACTTAGTATATACGGTAATATCTCCTCTCAGCAAGCAGAACCGTCCGGTTGGACTTTTAATCGGGCGACCCCAGTGTTCGATTCCCGGAGTTCACTTTCATTGTGATTGATAATGAAATACTTTCTACGGTCATTCGCACTGTATCTCTCCTCTGGCATGTACAGAAGTAATCAAGTCCTTCCAAAAGTGAAGGCAAATAGTACTGGTTAACTGCTTGACAGCCTGCCCAGGACCGATACGGTGGCAGAACTGTGCTCTAGTAAATGCGGCTTATTGCCGTGATCCGGAATGAAAAAGTCTACCAACACCACCAGCTATTTTCTTGACAATGATATTTTCTGAAAATATTTGAGACTTTCTAAAGGTGAATAAATTGATTTGTAAGAAGAATTTTAATAAATTGATTTCTTTGATTTTGAGGTCGGTTAAACCAAACATATATGTTTGACATTTCGGCATAATGACATCCATACTTTTACATATCCAAATTGTCTTTTTTTCTTTAATACACTTGTTGCAATATATAGTTACAAAATTGCCTATGATTTCAGCCGATTATGAGTGTCACGTGACCAATTATCAGCCGATAACTGACAATCATAATCAGCCCGCTGAACACGAGTACGTGCACAAACTGAAACAATGACGTCACATTTTACGTCATCAAAACAGCTAAGTGGGATTGAAGCACGAATAGCTTGATTTTATATCTAGAACATAAGCGTATTTTCTACAAACACAGCTTTTTTGAAAAACTAGCTACAATTTCACTCCATGAAAATAAAGCGTGCTTCTAGATTCGGTTGCAAACAGAAAAGGGAAGCAACTCTGTAGAAGTAACTGTAACCGATAAATCTAATGCAGTTGAAATCTACCGAGACAGAAATTTCAACGAAAGAAGTATCAAAGTAAATTTTAGATCTATCAACTGTATTAAAGACATTTAATAAATATAAAAAAACACACAAATCAGATTTAAACAATCTAAATGAAGATTGTCGCAATAATGTAAAGTTTACTCTCATAATGTATGAAAGTATGTACTCTTTTATTTCTTCTATCTGATTTCCATAACATTTCAGAAAACTATTTACATGTATATGAACTCTATTTACACGACATTTTTCGAAATTTTATGACAAACAAGCACACGCACACACTCGCGCACACACACCATCATTTCACTGTGATTTTAGAACCTTTAAATATATGACAAAAACTCGTTAATGTTCTAACACCGTTCACGCAAGCAATGCCATAAAGCCATCCGAGGAGCTCAGATCATTCAGTGGTGAAAGGACCACTTTACACCATATGTTTATATAATTTGAACCTACAGCGGTGAAAAAAACTGTAAATCAAAATCAACTACCGTCATCATTAGGTCACTTATACATCTATCTCACATCATAAAATGATAAACAAATTAAGGGAAGTGTAGCCATTATTTTGTATTTTTATAATCTAAAGTTGTATTTATTAATCCAATATATCATAACCCATGCTTAAACAATATACTATTTAACAATTGAATGTTGTAAAAGAATAGACTTAATGAACACAATTCAAAGCAGTTTCACTATTTCACAAATATATGGAAGCTTTGTCGAACATGGCGCATCATTCCATTTTCCTATTTTAGACATTTTTGCAAATATCTCGCCACAATCCTCATCCCCTCTGTCATTGTTAGGCTCGCCAGGTGCCCAATTTGAAAATTTTCCAAGACTTTGTGTTCCTTCTGATGAACTCCATTGCCAGTTATTTTCCTTCTGCGTGTCATCCAGTCCAATCCAAAAACCAGCTGAAAACATACACCATTGATTACCATGTTGACACTACGGATATTAGCATGTGAACAAAGACATGTGATGTTCAGACTTTCGTTATACATGTATATGCGATGGGCTTTAGATAGATTCAGTTAATTTTCATCTCATCTAGATATAAATTTGGATTGGATGATAATTGGTCAAAATATGGGTTAGAAAATATGTTTCGAAAACATGCATATCTATATTTAAATACATAAATCATGAACTTTATTGACATTGTACATACATGTACTTCCCTTGATATTAGCCACTATAAAATCATTCTCTTCTTTGCTTTCTATTCTAACAAGGTCGCCGCTGATCAATCTGCATTTCTCCTGAAAGCAATTGATATTAAGATATTAACATCATCACCATGATCGCCACCATCATCATCATCATCATCATCATCTCATCATTATCACCAACATAAACATCATCACCATATTTAGCATTATCATCACATCAATCTGAGGATAATACTCATTGGCCGCCGTTGATATCGCCGTCTTTATATCATTATGCTCATTATAAACTTCCTGATCATGGTCGAAGTGTTGATCATAATCAGCATCATCAGCATTATCATCATTATTTGAAAACTCATTAGAGTAATTCAGAGTAAAGAAAAGGATTTTAATTGCACGAGTCATCGGATGAGTAAAAGGTTACAAATCAGACTATCACTTGTCCAGCTCATGGTCAATTTAAGTAAAGATTTCCTCCTCAGATAAGGCTTAATGTGAAGTATTGAATATGAAGTATATTTGAATATTAATAATACAAACGTTTGTTTCGAAACTCCGTATATATTTATATTTTTTATTATTCTTATATGAATCGTTCTGAAGATAGGTAACTTTCTTACTTCGTGTATAAACTAAGTGTACTCACTTTGGCGTCAGACCATGTGTTAGGATCTTTGATAAATCGATAACACTTGTTTCCATATTGTTTCCATTTGACGTCCGGGCATGAAACTAAAAGAAATAATATTATACATTTGTAATGAAAGAACATGTTTTTAATTCATTTCTTTACTTGATAATCATTAACTGAATAAAATAATACATCTTAAATAAGTCAAAAGTGACTGAACGAATTAACACATTCAATTGGCTACAACGTAACTGAGCAAATTAACACATCAGATTGGCGACATAGTGCAGCAAGTAAACTTTTGAAATCTTTAAACAATTTTCTAATATTGTAACAACCGTCATCTAAATAACCATCATCATCAATATCATCATCATCAACAATATCATCATCATCATCGTCATCGTCGTCGTCGTTGTAATTGTCAGGGAAATAGCCGTCTTCATCATAATAGTCATCGTAGTAATAATAATTTAGCATCATCATCATCGTCGTCGTCGTCGTCGCCGCCATGATGATAATGGTAATTTTTCTACGCTGTTATGATCTACATTGTCGCAATTATCATCATCACAATCATAAACTGTAACAGCAATAATTATATACTCACTACCATTATAAATTACACTGTTTTTGAACAATATTGAATCGCCTGTCCGAAATTTCTCGATGTTTTGAAGTTGACCTTGCATCCCCAAAATAGCCATATTGGACTTTTCTACGTCTTTTAGTACATTTACAACATTAGGTTTCAGTAAAACAATGGCATACAATTCCTTATTTACAATTTCCTTTACATCTGTCGCATCACTGTTAATCTTAATGTTCAGCATTGATTCCGTTTCTTTTTTGGACTTTTTCATCCACTTTTTCATTTTGGGTTTTCATAGTGTTGAAAAATTTTAATCTTTGAGCTTTCTCATTTTTCAAAATTTGTCGCACGACAGATTCAATTTTTATCTTATTTTATTTGTTTAAAACAGTATAATTTCAATAATAATAATAATAATAATAATAATATTGTTTAGTTATTTGATTGACATTTTTTCTCAAGTTATTATTATTACGTGTATATATTATGATGATTATTATTATTATTATTATTATTATTTTTATTATTATTATTATAATTATTATTATTATTATTATTATTATTATTATTATTATTATTATTATTATTATAACGATAATGCAAATCCATAATTTTATGAATACATTAGTTTGTTAAGTAATTTCAAACAGCCAAACATTCATTTATTAATCTTAATAAACATCATAGTCCTGAAAATCGATTGTAAATAATACAAAAGTGTTACCTTTGATTGAGTCTGTTTCTGAACGTAGTTTGTATACTTCTTGTTTTATTTCGAACATTTCTTGTAGAAGATGTTTAATAACTTCTATATCAGTGCAGCTACATTGGCAATCACTCCTTACTATCAAAGCACCAACGATACCCATAATTAGAGAAAATGAAGTGAGGTAATGCATTTTATCACTAAAAAAGTGAACGCGGTAAACATAATATACCAGACAAGTGTGATTTGTAAAGTCAAAGGAATGAAACGTACCAGTGTAATGAAAATCAGCGTCTAAGTGACGTTTATTAAATGTGTACAACTTAAAAAGATCTGCAGAGCTTTATGAAACACTTGACATCACCCTCCAAACAGGAAGCGCATGTACATTGTTTAGCAGTGGAAAGTAAAAAAAACAATGCATCAGATACATGTAAACAAATGCACACAAAATTGGTAAGTCTAGTATTCTTTTGAAAAAAATAAGGAAACAAATTGCGAGCAAGACATGTATTATTGATAAGTTGTTGACAATTCATCGATCCGCGCCTTTATTATTATTATTATTATTATTATTATTTTATTGATTTCTTTTGTGTGTGTGTGGGGGGTAAATCTGGATAAATTAAGTGTTTGTTCTGTTAAGTCAGAGATTTATTTGAAAGATAATCTAGTTTTGTGGTTCTTTTCAATTACGTCATCTTCTGATAATGTCTTTCTATCATTCTATTGAACATTGTTCTTTTCGTCCTTAATATGAACACGCATCAATTTCTGTAACGCGTAGGGGAGACACGCGTGTAGTTGTTACTGTGGCGGCTGATTAGTGCCATTCATGATTTTGTCCTGGGACTCCGCCAAGCGAAAAGTTGAGAATTAACAAATCAAAATGGCGGGGCGCGAAACGAAAACACGCTAATTAGCGGGACGATGTTTATTATATAAAACTTCGCCCGACGGGGGTGCGGAGCGAGATTTAAGAAATAAAACGAGGAGCGCTAAGATGCAATACCAGAATTATACAGTATTGCATGTCATTAGTTAAGCTTGCAATTATTTTTACCCTCGCATCAGAATCTATCTTTGACTTGTGTCGGCACACCATTGCCATCGTATCGTGTTCTTCATCTTTCCCTTTTCAGTCAGTACATTTTTTGAAAATTTCCCTAAGAAATATGAGTAATTTTGTCCAGCCTGAAAGATGTGATAGGTTTTAAGATTTTTTATAAATTGATTTCTTTGATTTTGATGTCGGTTAAACCAAACATCTATCCCAACAGCAGGTATGTTTGATATTTCAGCATAGTGGCATCCAGACTTTAACATATCCAAATTGTCTATTTTTCTTTAATACACTTGTTACAATATATAGTTACAAAATTGCCTATGATTTAAATCGATTTTGAGTGTCGCGTGAACGATTTTCAGTCGATAACTGATAATCATAATCAGCCCGCTGAGTACAAGTACGTGCACAAACTGAAACAATGACGTCACATTTCACGTCATCAAAACAGCTAAGTATGATTGAAGCACGAAAAGCTTGATTATATCTAGCACATAAGCGTATTTTTTACAAACAAAGCTTTATTGAAAACTAGCTACAATTTCACTCCATGAAAGAAAAGCGTGATTTTAGATTATGTTGCATACAGAAAAGGGAAGCAACTTTGTAGGAGTAACAGTAATCTATAAATCTAATGCACTTGAAATCTACCGAGACAGGAATTTCAACGAAAGAAATATCAAACTAAATTTTAAATCTATCAAGTGTATTACAGACATTAAATATATATACACCAAACACACCAAGCTGTTTTAAAAAATCTAAATGAGATTGTTGCAATAATGTAAATTTTACTCTCATAATGTATGAAAGTATGTACTCTTTTATTTCTTCTTTCTGATTTCCATAACATTTCAGAAAACTATTTACATGTATATCAACTCTATTTACACGACTTTTTCGAAATTTTATGACAAACAAGCACACGCACATACACGCGCACACACACAATCATTTTAGAAGCTTAAAATATATGACAAAAACTCGTTAATGTTCTAACACCATTCACGCAAGCAATGCTATAAAGCCATCCGAGGAGCTCAGATCATTCACTAGTGAAAAGACCACTTTACACTATATGTTAATATGATCACAATTCAAAGCGGTTTCACTATTTCACAAATATATGGATTCTTGTGCATGCAATTCTCGTCATTCCATTGTCCTTTTAATACACCATCGTAATATGTATATATCACGCCACAATTCTCATTCCCGTCCATATTGTTAGGCTCGTTAGGTGCCCAGGCCGAAAAATTCCCAAGACTTTGTGTTCCTTCTGATGACCTCCATTGCCAATCATTTTCATTCTGCGTGTCTTCCAGTCCAATCCAGTAACCATCTGAAAAACATATTACACCATTCATTATACCATTTGGACAATACGGATGTTAGCACGTGAACAAAGACATGTGATATTCGTGTCGTCGTGCGATGGTCTTAAGACAAATTCAGTTTATTTTCATGTCATCTAAATATATAAATTGGATTGGATGATAATTGATCAAAAACAGTCACAAATGATGTGTTTGTTAGGTGAGAAATGATCTTTCTGAAAAATTGCATATCTATATTGACATTACTTAAATCATGAACTAAATTGCTTCAGTACATACATTTACTTCCCCGGATATTAGCTATAAAATCATTCTCTTCTTTGTTTTCTATTCTAACAAGGTCGCCGTGGATCAATCTGCATTTCTCCTGAAAACATAAGATATATACATCATCATCATCATCATCATCATTATCACCAACATCATCATCATCATCATCATCACCTCCATATTGCCGTCTGTATAACATTGTGTTCATTATTATCATCATGATCGAAGTATAAATCATCATCATCTTCAACATTAAAGGCTTTTTGCGTAATGCTCTGGACAAATAAAGTTTGAAGAACACAAAGGGCAATAACTGAAAATAGGTTATCATTCTTGTGTACTGCACTCCTCCTCAATGAGATACATCCATCTTTGAAGTTTCAAGTTGAAACCTCTTACACTTTTTGAGATAAGCTCCAGACAAAAAGCATGAAAAAAACAAAGGGCAATAATTGAAAAAATATTAAGGGTAGAGTTATAATTCTTTAGCACAGCATTCCTCCTCAATAAGATCTATCTACCTTTTAAGTTTATACCTTTGAAGTTTATACACAAAAATAAAGTTTGAAAAATAACAAAGGGCAATAACTGAAAAAATGCAGGGTAGAGTTTAACTTATCATTTTTGTGCACTGCACTCCTCCTAAATATGATCTATCCGCCTATGAAGTTTCAAGTTGATACCTAAAATACTTTTGAGATATGCCATGGACAAAAACGTCGGACGGTCGGACGGATTGGTGGATGGACGAACAGACGGACGGATGAACAGACGGGCGGAGACTATTTCTATATCCCCGCCGCCTTTCGGTGGGGGATAATAACATTCTAATTTAAATTATTCTTGCAGAATCGTAACACTGTACAAACTGAATTGTTCTTGTGATAGGTCTACTTTTTATTGTAACTTAATGCGTATATGAACTAAGACCACTCACTTTGGCGTCAGACCATGTGCTAGCATCTCCTTCTCCAACAAATCGATAACATTTGTTTCCATATTTTTTCCATGTGTCGTCCGGGCATGAAACTAAAAAAATAATATTATAGATTAACAGGTTTTTTATTCATTGATGTTTATACTTGATAATCATAAGCCGAACAATTTAACACAGTTATCTTATTGGCGACAAAGTATCTGAACAAATTAACACATCTTATTGGCGACATAGTGCAGCATGTAAACTTTGAAAATCTTTGGACAGTTTTCTTATATTGTAACAACCGTCATCTAACTAACCATCATCATCATAATCAGCATCGTCGTCGTCTTCGTCATTACCATGGTTGTAGCCGTCGTCATCATAATAGTTATTGTGGTAATAATAATTTATCATCCTCATCGTCGTCGTTGTACTTGCCGTCGTGGTCGTGGTCGGTGCCGCCATGATGATGATGATGATGTTGATCATCATAATTTTTTCTACGATGTTGTGATCTTTTTTATCGCAATTAAAATCATCACAATCATAAACTGTAATAGTAATTAATATTATTATACTCACTGACATAATAACTTACACTGTTTTTGAACAATACTGAATCGCCTCTCCGAAATTTCAAGATGTTCTTGATGTTGGCCTTGCAGCTTCGAAATAGCCATATTGGACATTTCTACCTCTTTTAGAACATTTGCAATATTAGTTTTCAGTAAATCAATGGCAGAAAGTTCCTTATTTACAATTTCTTTTACAATTTCCAGCGTTGACTCCGTGTTTTGGACTTTTTCATCCACTTTTTCAATTTAGGTTTTCATAGTATTGAAAAATTTCAATCTTTGAGCTTTCTAATTTTTCAAAATTTGTCGCACGACAGATCCAATTCTTAGTCTTTCCTCCTTCATTGTTTTATCTAATATAAAGACTTTTTGAAGTGATTTTTCTGCAAGAGGTCATTTTGTTAACTGACTTATATCTGATGTCATATGACGTGAAAACATCCTTTTTTATGATATACACATACATGATATTACTAATGCACCTGATAGCACTATTCGTTTGATAGCGGAATAGCATGTTAGAATGTATTTTTGAATATGACAGCAGTTTGAAATACATATTTATCTCAAACCCGTGCTGATTTTGCGACTCCATAAATATGGTAATGCACGGACGTGCATATATTTTGACGTGACTTCATTAGCGTTATACAAACAATGTGTTAAGACGCGCTAAATGTTAGACTTTTATTTCACTTTAAACGGTCTTTATTTTGGGTAAGGGATAAATAGAATATTAAATTTGTGTAAGTTCATTAGTGAATTTATTGCACTCGTTGAATAAAATAATATTATGCTCGCCAGAGGCTCGCATAATATAATTTTATTCAACTCGTGCAATAAATTCAGTATTGAACTTAACACTCAATATCCTGTATGTATTGCTTTTTAAATAAAAAGCTTGACGGTATTTTCGTAAAGAAAGCTAGTGCCAAGTTATTTCATTTGCTTTAAATAGTATAATTTCATTATTAATAATAATAAAAATAATTATGTCAAGTTATTTGATTGACATTTTTTCTCTGAAATTATTATTATTATTTAGTTTTATTATTATTATTATTATTATTATTATTATTATTATTATTATTATTTGATAATAAAAATAATAATAAACTTACGTTATAATAATAACTTTAGAGAGAAAATGTCAATCGAATAACGAGACTTCCTCTTAACATAAAAATAGCTACATATATAATGTAAATGTATCCATAATGTACTAATTACTTTGATAAGTAATTCCAAACTGTTTAACATGCAGTAATTTATCTTGATAAACACAATGGACCAGAAAATCCCAACGTTCCTATTTACCATTTAAATTACAGATAATGTGATTAACAAGATTTACATAGTTTTAAATATTGTGTTAAATTGATTGACATGTTGTTTACTTTTTAACTATGTATATGTCTGTCCCCATCTATTTACCCATATTTAAATAGCAAAAAAATAAATCATGTTATTACATGTCTGTAATCTGATTTTAATAAAAGTAATTGTTGTTGAAATGTAATTAATAATAAAGTGTTACCTTTGGTTGAGTCTATTTTTTTAGATGACGTCTGCATTTCAGAACGTAATTTGTACATCTCATGTAGAAGGAGATATTTAGTAGCTTCTATATCAGTGCAGCTACATTGGCAATCACTCCTTACTATCAAAGCACTAACGATAACCATAATTAGAGAAAATGAAGTGAGGTTATGCATTTTTTCACTAGAAAAGTGAACGCGGTAAACAATATTTGTCTCATAGTTTGGGGACCTTTCTGTTGAAAAAGTGTCAGAGTTAAATCGTATACATATACATGCACAGTGCGGTAACTGGAGTGCAGGTATCAGTTACCCGCACTCCAGATCATGCCTGTTGATTTGTTCATTTTTGCTGGGGTTTACATATTGTGACGGCAGAGAAAGGGAAAGTGGCAGGCAGAAATATCATATTCAGATGCTCGATCATTGGTTACTTTTTCCCGGGGTTTAAAATTGTGACAACAGGGAACATGTTTTTATGTTTGACTATGATACAAAAGAGAAAGAACACCAAAACACTCGGCAATCTGATTTATACTCGGGGGCTAAGCCCCCTCGTACAAATCAGATAGCCTCGTGTTTCGGTGCTCTTTCTATTACATACCAGACAAGTTTGATTTGTAAAATGTAAGGTATGAAGCCTAACGGTCTAAGTGACGCTTTATTAAATATGTACAACTTAAATAAAGCTGGAGAGCTCTATGAAACACTTGACATCACTCACCTAACAGGAAGCGGACCTTTTTAGCAATAGATTTGCTTTTCCGAGTAAAAGGTAAGATACGATGCGTCAGAATCTAGTAAACAAATTTACACAAAATTGGTGAGTCTTGTATTTTTTTTTAATGAAAGAAAACATTTGCGAGGCAGCCATGTATTATTGATAAGTTGTTGATAATTCATCGATCCGCGGTATTATTATTATTATTATTATTATTATTATTATTATTATTATTATTAGAGATTTATTTAAAAGATAATCTAGTTTTGTGGTTCTGTTCAGTTTATTATCTTCTGATATTGTCTTTCTATCAATCTCTATTGAACATTTTTCCTTCTTCGTGCTTAAGATGGACACGCGTTAATTTATGTAACGGGTAGTGAAGATAGTTGTTATACTTTTCGCATTTGCCATTACAAAATTGATAAATACAGAATCCCTAAAGAAAGCCCAACACGGCAAAATTACAAATGTTGCAGGCTCGGTTTGATTGAGCCTGTTCATGGGCGGTACTGGAAAGTGCAAGTTACCGTCCACGCCCCCTAGCACCGGCTTAAGCAGAATTCAACATTTAAACGTGAAATAGTAAAATTTTGAATTTAGAAACATCCGCAGATGTGTTCATACGGCGGTTATCATGGAACCTTCAATGTGACACTTCCGTGCCATTCCATGAAAAGCGGCGTATGGTCCCCAAGTAATAAAAAGCGTGTGCCCTAAACGAGAAAACAATGGGCGGAACTAAATAAAATGGAATTTTGAAAGGGGATCAGAGGTTATGAAGCCTGCGTATCACAGACAAGACGTCAAAAGACAAATTTAAAAAGCAGGCAACATATCCTAAGGGTGATTCAACATTATTCAAGTAGGAATATTGGAACCACCCAACTAGAAAATGCCGAAAAGTTGAAACTAAAAATACCACAAGCACAACAATAATGTCGTGCTGAACGATCTTCAAGGATCGAAAATATAACATCATTGATTAAATGTACGGGGAGACTTTTCACAGCCGCAACACGGCACAAATAACACAGATGTGATCATAAAATTGATAAATACAGAATCCCTAAAGAAAGCCCAACACGGCAAAATTGAAAATGTTGCAGACTCGGTTTGATTGAGCCTGTTCATGGGCGGTACTGGAAAGTGCAAGTTACCGTCCACGCCCCCTAGCACCGGCTTAAGCAGAATTCAACATTTAAACGTGAAATAGTAAAATTTTGAATTTAGAAACATCCGCAGATGTGTTCATACGGCGGTTATCATGGAACCTTCAATGTGACACTTCCGTGCCATTCCATGAAAAGCGGCGTATGGTCCCCAAGTAATAAAAAGCGTGTGCCCTAAACGAGAAAACAATGGGCGGAACTAAATAAAATGGAATTTTGAAAGGGGATCAGAGGTTATGAAGCCTGCGTATCACAGACAAGACGTCAAAAGACAAATTTAAAAAGCAGGCAACATATCCTAAGGGTGATTCAACATTATTCAAGTAGGAATATTGGAACCACCCAACTAGAAAATGCCGAAAAGTTGAAACTAAAAATACCACAAGCACAACAATAATGTCGTGCTGAACGATCTTCAAGGATCGAAAATATAACATCATTGATTAAATGTACGGGGAGACTTTTTACAGCCGCCACACGGCACAAATAACACGGATGTGATCATAAAATTGATAAATACAGAATCCCTAAAGAAAGCCCAACACGGCAAAATTGAAAATGTTGCAGGCTCGGTTTGATTGAGCCTGTTCATGGGCGGTACTGGAAAGTGCAAGTTACCGTCCTCGCCCCCTAGCACCGGCTTAAGCAGAATTCAACATTTAAACGTGAAATAGTAAAATTTTGAACAAAACCCATAATATGCCAAGATTTGTTAACAATGTACCATATATATGAACATTATGCGTTTTTATAAAACAATAATGTAAGTAAGTTATCTTACTACATTCTGGAAATGTAATTTTTTGACTAGATAGATGTCGACGCATGTTGAAAATAACTTTCGATGTACCGTGTATCCTATATGGATATGAGACTGCCAAATGACACGTTATTAAAACATAAACAAGTTTTTGTCATGTTTAGAAATGTAAACATTACAATAAAATGTTTTGTTTTGATGTTGTTTTTTTTTCTCAAATATTTCGAAAAGGTCTTGTAAAAAGATTTTATATGAATAGTTTTCGGAAATGTAATGGAAATCAAGACGATGTGTCCGTCCAAGAATCACATCCTTACCTCAAAAGTCAATATCACACTAAAATTTGAAGTTTCAGTTTATCACAATCAGAGTTTATAGGTACACACATTTATGTCCGGACTGTAACTTTGTCATGCATCGAAGGATTTAAGAATAACTTGGCATGAATGTCTTCCACATGAAGATGTTGTGTTGCATCCAAGACCCTTGTCACGAGGTGTTAAGTTTGCTTTAAATAGCATTTCATTTCACAAGAACAATATTAAGCAATTAGTTACTTTCATTCTCTTTTCTTTTCATAATATCTGCATGCTTAAGAAATTAAATTTCGGGGGCATTCATCACTTGTGTGACAGCTCTTATTCAATTAAAATTTTCAAGGTACAGTGGCCACAGTTGTCTAACATAATTTAGGTCAAAATATGCAAGACCAGTCACTTTAAGTCAGATTGACTTTAAACTTGGTATGCATGCTTCTTTCAATAACCTGAAGTGCAGTGCACATGGACCGGTACTCTGCTATTCTTAATTTTTGAATTTTGCCCTTTGTTAATTTCCATACTTTAATTTTGTCTGGGTCATTTCTCTTCAACTATAAAAGCTATGGACTTGAAACTTCATAGGATGATAGATCTTATTAAGACGAAGTGCGGTGCACAAGAACCGGTACTCTGCCTTTCTTACTTTTTTTAATTATTGCCCTTTGTGATTCTCATACTTTATTTTTTACCGGGCCATTTCTCATGAATTATAAAAACTATGGGCTTCAAACTCCATAGGATGATAGATCTCATTTAGAAGAAGTGCAGTGCACAAGAACTGGCACTATGTTTTTTTTTTTTTTTTTTTTTTTAGTTATTGCCCTTTGTTAATTTTCAT